TATGGACTTCGGAAACAAGCGGGAGTGTCCATACTCATATCAAATAAAATAGATTTCAAGCCAAAGTTAATCAAAAGGGATAAAGAGGGACACTACATACTGCTTAAGGGAACCATACACCAACAAGACATAACAATCATAAATATTTATGCCCCAAACAATGGTGCAGCTATGTTCGTCAAACAAACTCTTCTCAAGTTCAAGAGTCTAATAGACCACCATACCATAATCAACACACCTCTCTCGCCACTGGACAGATCTTCCAAACAAAAGTTGAATAAGGAAACTATAGAACTCAATAACACTATTAATAACCTAGACCTAATTGACATATATAGAGTATACCACCCAACATCAAGCAGTTACACTTTTTTCTCAGCAGCACATGGATCCTTCTCAAAAATAGATCATATATTATGTCACAGGGCAACTCTTAGACAATATAAAGGAGTAGAGATATTACCATGCATCTTATCTGATCATAATGGAATGAAACTGAAAATCAACGATAAAAGAAGGAAGGAAAAAGCATACATCAATTGGAGAATGAACAATAGGTTACTGAATGATCAATGGGTTATAGAAGACATCAAGGAGGAAATTAAAAAATTCTTAGAGATAAATGAAAACACAGACACAACATATCGGAATCTATGGGACACATTGAAAGCAGTTCTAAGAGGAAAATTCATTGCTTGGAGTTCATTCCTTAAAAAAAGAAAAAAACAACAAATAAATGATCTCATACTTCATCTCAAAATCCTTGAAAAAGAAGAGCAAAACAACAGCAAAAGAAGTAGAAGGCAAGAAATAATTAAAATCAGAGCTGAAATTAATGAAATCGAAACAAAAGAAACAATTGAAAAAATTGACAAAACTAAAAGTTGGTTCTTTGAAAAAATAAACAAAATCGACAGACCCTTAGCGATGCTAGCGAAGAGAAGAAGAGAGAGAACTCAAATTACTAGCATACGGGATGAAAAAGGCAATATCACAACAGACACTTCAGAAATACAGAAGATAATCAAAAACTATTTTGAATCCTTATACTCCAATAAATTAGAAGATAGTGAAGGCATAGATAAATTTCTTAAGTCAATGATATGCCCAGATTGAGTCAGGAGGATATAGAAAACCTAAACAGACCAATATCAATTGAGGAAATAGAAGAAACCATAAAAAGACTACCAACTAAGAAAAGCCCAGGACCGGATGGGTATACAGCAGAATTTTACAAAACCTTTAAAGAAGAACTAATACCAATACTTTTCAAGCTACTTCAGGAAATAGAAAAAGAGGGAGAACTTCCAAATTCATTCTATGAGGCCAACATCACCCTGATACCTAAACCAGACAAAGACACTTCAAAGAAAGAAAACTACAGACCAATATCTCTAATGAACCTAGATGCAAAAATCCTCAATAAAATTCTGGCGAATTGGATACAAAAACATATCAAAAAAATTGTACACCATGATCAAGGAGGATTCATCCCTGGGATGCAAGTCTGGTTCAATATACGGAAATCAATAAATGTTATTCACCACATCAACAGACTTAAAGATAAGAACCATATGATCATCTCGATAGATGCAGAAAAAGCATTCGACAAAGTACAGCATCCCTTTATGTTCAAAACTCTAGAAAAACTAGGGATAACAGGAACATACCTCAATATTGTAAAAGCAATCTATGCTAAGCCTCAGGCTAGCATCATTCTGAATGGAGAAAAACTGAAGGCATTCCCTCTAAAATCTGGAACAAGACAGGGATGCCCTCTCTCTCCACTTCTGTTCAACATAGTTCTCGAAACACTGGCCAGAGCAATTAGACAGACGAAAGAAATTAAAGGCATAAAAATAGGAAAAGAAGAACTTAAATTATCACTATTTGCAGATGATATGATTCTATACCTAGCAGACCCAAAAGGCTCTACAAAGAAACTATTAGAGCTAATAAATGAATTCAGCAAAGTGGCAGGATATAAAATCAACACGCATAAATCAAAGGCATTCCTGTATATCAGCGACAAATCCTCTGAAATGGAAATGAGGACAACCACTCCATTCAAAATATCTTCAAAAAAAATAAAATACTTGGGAATCAACCTAACAAAAGAGGTGAAAGACTTATACAATGAAAACTACAGAACCCTAAAGAGAGAAATAGAAGAAGATCTTAGAAGATGGAAAAATATACCCTGTTCATGGATAGGCAGAACTAACATCATCAAAATGGCGATATTACCAAAAGTTCTCTATAGGTTTAATGCAATGCCAATCAAAATCCCAACGGCATTTCTTGTAGAAATAGAGAAAGCAATCATGAAATTCATATGGAAAAATAAAAGACCCAGAATAGCAAAAACAATGCTAAGCAGGAAGTGTGAATCAGGCGGTATAGCGATACCAGACTTCAAACTATACTACAGAGCAATAGTAACAAAAACAGCATGGTACTGGTACCAAAACAGGCGGGTGGACCAATGGTACAGAATAGAGGACACAGAAACCAATCCACAAAACTACAACTATCTTATATTTGATAAAGGGGCTAAAAGCATGCAATGGAGGAAGGATAGCATCTTCAACAAATGGTGCTGGGAAAACTGGAAATCCATATGCAACAAAATGAAACTGAATCCCTTTCTCTCGCCATGCACAAAAGTGAATTCAAAATGGATCAAGGAGCTTGATATCAAATCAGAGACACGCTGTCTGATAGAAGAAAAAGTTGGCTACGATCTACAGTCGGTGGGGTCGGGCTCCAAATTCCTCAATAGGACACCCATAGCACAAAAGTTAATAACTAGAATCAACAAATGGGACTTACTCAAACTAAAAAGTTTTTTCTCAGCAAAAGAAACAATAAGAGAGGTAAATAGGGAGCCTACACCCTGGGAACAAATCTTTACTCCTCACACTTCAGATAGAGCCCTAATATCCAGAGTATACAAAGAACTCAAAAAATTAGACAATAAGAGAACAAACAACCCAATCAACAAATGGGCCAAGGACCTGAACAGACACTTCTCAGAGGAGGACATACAGTCAATCAACAAGTACATGAAAAAATGCTCAACATCTCTAGGTGTCAGAGAAATGCAAATCAAAACCACCCTAAGATACCATCTCACTCCAGTAAGATTGGCAGCCATTATGAAGTCAAACAACAACAAGTGCTGGCGAGGATGTGGGGAAAAGGGTACACTTGTACATTGCTGGTGGGACTGCAGATTGGTGCAGCCAATTTGGAAAGCAGTATGGAGATTTCTTGGAAAGCTGGGAATGGAGCCACCATTTGACCCAGCTATTCCCCTTCTTGGTCTATTCCCTAAAGACCTAAAAAGAGCATGCTACAGGGACACTGCTACATCGATGTTCATAGCAGCACAGTTCACAATAGCAAGACTGTGGAACCAACCTAGATGCCCTTCAATAGACGAATGGATAAAAAAAATGTGGCATTTATACACAATGGAGTATTACTCTGCATTAAAAAATGACAAAATCATAGAATTTACAGGGAAATGGATGGCATTAGAGCAGATTATGCTAAGTGAAACTAGCCAATCCCTAAAAAACAAATGCCAAATGTCTTCTTTGATATAAGGAGAGTAACTAAGATCAGAGTAGGGACGAAGAGCAGGAGAAGAAGATTAACATTTAACAGGGATGAGAGGTGGGAGGGAAAGGGAGAGAGAAGGGAAATTGCATGGTAATGGAAGGAGACCCTCAGGGTTATACAGTGGAGGGGGTAGAGAGGAGGGGAGGGGAGGGGAGAGGTGGGGAGGGGGGAGGGTGGAGGATGGGAAAGGCAGCGGAGCACAACAGACACTAGTATGGCAATATGTAAATCAATGGATGTGTAACTGATATGATTCTGCAATCTGTGTATGGGGTGAAGGTGGGAGTTCATAACCCACTTGAATCAAAGTGTGGAATATGATATGTCAAGAAATTTGTAATGTTTTGAACAACCCACAATAAAAAATTAAAAAGAAAAAAGAAAAAAAAAACACTCCATTTGGGGAATATCCCAGAAATTCCCAGGAACCTAGGACTTACAAGGAAGAAAAAAAAAAAAAGGAGAAAAGAAAAGTAGACATAAAAGTAATAAGCTGCTTCTCCCTAGAATATTCTATTTAAGAATTTTTGAATGTTCAACCTGTATTTAGTTTCTAGACTAAACCAGTGAATGCTGAGTGTTATGAATAATGGTGTCTTTGAAGGGATGCCTGTGATTAGGAGCAGGTAACCTGGGTGGTGGGAAAAGTTGGTAAGGGTATAAAGATAAGGAAAAAAAGTTCTGTTCATTTATCAGAAAACTGGGGCAAAATTTCCCAGTGCAGGGGTGTCCACCTGTAATCCCAGAAACTGGAGTGGCTGAGACAGGAGGATTACAAATTTGAGGCCAGCTTCAGTAACTTACCAAGGTCCTAAGCAACTTAGTGAGGCAAGCTTAGTTTCTCAAAATGAAAAACAAAAAGGGCTGGGAATGTAACTCAGTGACAGTGTGTCTCTGAGTTCAATTGCTGGTACAGAAAAAAAAAAAAAAAGGAGGGCAAAATTTAACTCTGAATCTCACTAGTTCAGATAGCCTTTATTTATTTATCTATTTATCTATCTATGTATCTATTTATTTATTTATTTTTGGTACCGGGGATTGAACTCAAGGGTACTCACCACTGAGCCACATCCCCAGCCCTATTTTGTATTTTATTTAGAGACAGGGTCTCGCTGAGTTGCTTAGCGCCTCGCAGTTGCTGAGGCTGGCTTTGAACTCGAGATTCTCCTGTCTCAGCCTCCCAAGCCACTGGGAATACAGGCATGCACCACCACGCCCGGCTCAGATAGCCCTTTTAAATAATCAGATAATGGGGCCTTAGTACTGGAGAAAACAGTAAATAGAGCGTCCTAACTGCTATTTGCCAGAGGTAACTGAGAATGGGGAGAGGGATGCAAACGCTTCTATAGCCATTGAGGCAACTAGACACCTACCTTACAAAGAACCTTGGCCATTTCAAAGGTGCCTACAGTATCCATATTAGCAGCAATGATCGGGACGCCGTTGTACATCTGCTTTGAATTACGAAATGAAAATGATCTTGTGAGATCCACCTGCAGATGTGAACAGAAAACAGTATTTTATTCATCCGGAAAACACATTAGGACAAGGACCAGGGAGTTTCTTGCTCCTGCTTCTGTCCAGGAGCTTAGGGTTAAAAAAGAGGAAATACAAAGCTGGCTTACCTCACTTCGAGACTTTAGGGTGCTGCGTTTTGGCCTCAAAAGAACATCCTTGAAGTCTAGTTTCACGTCATTGTCGATATGAGGCATGGCGGGGTCTGGAATCTGAGTATTGGAGGGTAGGAAGTCAGGAGGAATCTGAATCAATATTCCCTTGGGCCTTAATGTCCTGATGTGGCTGGGACAGGGTGCATCTCTCCTGGCTTAAGTCGTGGAAGGTCGGGTTTTAAGGCAAGGTTTGGGCCCTGAAGCAGGTCGCCGGCACTCGTCCTGGCCTCGATGCTTCCATCTCAATTACAGATTGTTGGATAGAATTGGGTTGGTGAACCGGAGTGTTCACTTTACCCAGCTACTTTCCCTACCCACCCCTGCAAAGAGGAGTCAGATTTAGGGAGAAGAAATGGGAAGGTTTCAATCAACTTCCGGCATGGGGGTACTCACTTCCTGTTGCCTTGGTGTCAGTTGACCGAAACTCCCCTAGCTTAGCTACTAGCCTCGTGCAGCCCCGCTGAGCCTTGTGGGGTCACGCCAACAGGTTCCGCTAATTGCGGGTAAGACAACTAATCGAGGAATTCCACCTTCGGGGGCGGACGTGCGAGGCCTTCTGGGTAACAGAGTTCACACACTGAAGTTGCCGTTGGATCTGAGCGGCAGGAAACTACAACTTCCAGGGTGCAACGAGCAGAGCGGCTTTCTGGCATGATGGGAGAAGTAGTTCGTTTTGCCCCAGCTTTCCGCTAGCCTTGACTCCTTAAGGATTCTCAGAATTAGGAAAGCGTCATTTCTGCTACACTTAATCCGGCTGCGTTATTTTATTTACAACGCAACTGAAACGAAGCGCGGGAGCATTCGTGAGCCTTTCGGAAACCCTGTAGAAACTGGGGGGGGGGTGTGGCCAGAGGGTGACCCGGAAGCAGAAGTGACTCCCACAAGCGGAGTGTTAGGAAGCGTCGGCGGCGACCGCAGCGGGAGAAGCAGCAATTTATCTGTTTGCAGCCACAATCTGGGAAGAAGATGCTAATTAAAGTGAAGGTGGGAGCACTTCCACGCTTGCCAAGACTCAGTGGTACTGGGCCGGCCGCTGCGTCTTACGGGAAAAGCGGGGAAGGAAAACCACGCCTTATCTGGAGAGTGCTGACAGCCTCGGGGCTCAGCGCGAGGGGTCATGGGAAATAGGGGGACCCGGGTGGGCTTTGAGAGCTGGAGGCTGGCCCCGCCTGACGACCCTAGGGTCTCGCTTCATTCGAACCCGCTCTGTCTAGAGAAAGTCTAGCAGCAGCTTGCCACCCCTATCCCCGGATTCTTGAGAAAAGCTCTGCCCTCCATTCTTCATGCCCAGGTTATCTGCTGCTCGCAGCCCCTAATGTAGGCTATCTCCAAGCACAGTGCTGAAACATTAGCTTGAGAAAACTGGAGGTCTCCCAAAGGCTGTAGACTATAAGCCTTTGCTGGTGATTGCCGAGATGTGTGTAAGCCGTTCTTGAGGAGCTGGGATTCAGTCGTCTTTTGCTTTTCTGAGCTGTGTATCGCTTTCTTGACTGAGGCAGGTAGTTACGGTTTCTTAGTTCTTGGTACTAGCTGTCTTCATTATTTTCATCTCTCATCTCCTGTGGTAGTTCTTCACCAATTTTTAACTCCTCTTATTTTCTCTTTTGTTCTTTTAGCCAGAGACAAAAAAAAAAAAAAAAACCTGCAATCGACACAGTTCAACACTAGTTTGCCTTTTTATAGCTTAGTAATTCTGTCCTTATTTCATCAGCTTATTAGCATGTTTACAATATGTCATAGCCATTCTTTTTAAATTGTAGATAGACACAATACCTTTATTTTATTTATTTTTATGTGGTGCTGAGGATCGAACCCAGGGCCTTGTATGTGTTAGGCCAGCGTTCTACCGCTGAGCCCCAGCCCCCGTCATAGCCATTCTTAAGCTTCTCTTCTAGTCCTTCCAAATTATCTCTTGCCAGAGAGCATGTTGAAAATCATTGTTTTTCAGACTTTTTAGAAACCTAAAATCAACTCTGTGGGTCGCAAGCACCATTAAAAAAAGAAAAGATCAAGGTATACTGCTGGATAAGGGTATTGTTTTGTGAAGCTTGTTTTCATTTTTTTATATATATATTACACGCATGTGTTACTATTCATATGTGTTTCTTAGTCCTTCACTGTCACAATTTTTAGAAGCACTAAGGATGAATGCTCATGCTTTTTCATGTCCTCCTAGTCCAAAGAAGAGGGTTATTACTATTCTTTTGTTAAATGTTTTTTCATTTTTTTAAAATGTCAACCCACACTAAGAAGTTTTAATATTAAACACAAACAACTTTCTGTGAGTGATACCTTCTGATATTTTTAGTTCTAAGTTTGTTTCATTATCCACTGGTGGGTTAAGACCTACAGTTTAAAAACTACTGTGTTCCAAATGGACTTCTCAAACTTCAAAGTGCATTAGAATAGCCGGGGAGTCTTGCTGAAATGCTGATTATGATTCTGTGGGACTAGGATGGAGTATGAGAGTCTTCTAGCAGGAAATGATGATTGCTGTTTATCTGAAGACTATACTTTGATTATCAAGGTTGTAGATTTTACCTTTTTTTAAATCCATTTTTACAGTCATTTAAAATTTCCAGTCTCCTTCCCTGCCACACTTTGCCTTCTGTTTCCTATCAGATCTCTGTCCTCCATCTCTTTTTTGTTTACTTCATTCTTTATATATTAAACACATGAGAGCAATTTGTTCGATATTAATTACTATGTAAATGATAGCTTTTGTGGGGGTTCCTTTGTGAATTATCCACCTTTCAATTGTTGTTTCTGTGTAACTGAAGTCAGTAACTGGTTAACTGATTTCATCCATATCTTTCTGTAATCCTTTACAATTAAATCCTTCCTGATTTAAATCTTATAACCTAATCTCCGTGATCCTAATTTAAGCACATCATCTTCTATCATAAGTCATCTTCTCTAGGACCCATTTCGTATGTTAATACCCTTGATTTATCACGTATCTGGAACACAATTCTTTAGAATCATTTCTCTTCTATAGTACTTCATTTTTCATATGAAACCAATTTATGCATTATTTTTCTTTCCCATCACATTACTTTCCTGCAGGTCTGGGGTTCATTAACATATATCCTTAGCTGGGTGTTGTGATGCACACCTATAATCTCAGCTACTTAGGCGGCAGAGGCAGAAGGATTGAAAGATTGAGGCCAGCCTCAGCAACTTAATGAGTCCCTGTATCAAAATAAAATTTTAAAAAGGGATGGGGATGTAGCTCAGTTGTAGAGCATCCCTGGGTTCAATCCCCAGTACAAAAAAAAACACCAACAAAAAAACCCCCAAAGCCTTAAATCCTTGTTTCTCTGTGAAAGTTCTATTTTCTTACTTCCATTCCTTCTTTAAAGTGTATAGTCTAAACCAAGACATGGTGTACCAAAACCATAGTGTACAGAGGTCTTCTTTAAGCTTCTTTTGATCATATTGTTCCCTAACCACACATCTGGCATTGGTTTCCCTGTTGTAGATTACTCTGGCAGCTGTGTTTACTAATCTTAACTTGTTTTCTCATTCATTTCTCATCCATGTTGTCTTAATATAATAAAATTATATTCAGCCGGGCATGGTGGCACACACTTGTAATCCCAGTGGCTCGGGAAACTGAGACAGGAGAATCATGAATTTAAAACCAGCCTCAGCAATAGCGAAGTGCTAAGTAACTCAGTGAGACCCTGTCTCTAAATAAAATACAAAAAGGATTGGGGATGGTGCTCAGTAGTTGAGTGCCCCTGAATTCAATCCCTGGTACCAAAAAAAAAGATAAATAAAATGTACAGTTTTTAAGGGTTCAGTTCAGTGAATTTTTAACAGTAATATAAACCCATGTAACTACAAGCTTTAAAACATTTTCATCCCTTTCCCCCACCCCAGAAAGTTCTGTACTTTAGTTTTGCTTGTTTTAGAACTTCATATAATAGAATGATATGGTACAGATAGATAATTTTTTTTTTTTTTCTTATTGGAGACAGGGTTACTATATTCCCTAGGCCAGGCTGAAACTCTCAATCCTGCCAACCTCCCACATAGCTGGGATTACAGGCATATGTCACCATGCCTGGCCAATATATAATTGTTGTGTCTAGATTCTTTCAGTATTATATCTATTGTAATGTGTATCTACAATTTGTTCCTTTTTAATACTGAATAGTATTCCATTAGATAATTATATCATAGTTGTTTATCCATTCTTCTGTTGATAGGCATTTGGGTTGTTTCCAGTTTCTGGCTATTATGAATAAGACTTCTGTAAACATTGTTATACAAGTCTTTTTGTGGATAAATGTTTTCATTTCCATTGGATAAATACCTAGGAATAGAATTACTCGGCCATGTGGTAGGTATATATAACTTTGAAAAGAAACTGCCAAACAGTTCTCCAAAGTGTTGCACTGTTTTGCCTTCCCACCTGCAATATCTGAACATTTCACTCTCTCTGAACCCTTGCCAGTTTCTACTGATCTCATTTCTTAGCTATTCTTGTGGGCATGTTACCTCATTCAGGTTACATTGATCGTTAATTTTCACTCACCATAGCATTTTGTCATAGTCTCTTGTATTTGGACAGTAATATTCAATATGGCACTTCTTTGTGTGCTGGTTTGTTCTTTTTTTGTGTCTTAATTGTTTCTTGGCTGTAAAATCTTCACTTTAAGAAGCCTGGATCACAGCTGGGTGTGGTGCTGCATGCCTAGAATCCCAGTGACTTGGGAGTTTGAATTAAGAGGATTGCCAGTTTGAGGCCAGCCTCAGCATCTTACTGAGGCCCTAAACAACTTGGCAAGATCATGTCTCAAAATAAAAAATTAAAAGGTCTGGTGATGTGGCTCAGTGGGAGAGTGCCTCTGGGTTCAATCCCTGTTACCCAAAAATAAATAAATAAATAAAAGGGGCTGGGGATATAGCTTAATGGTAGAGTGTCCCTGGGTTCTCCCCCCCGTACCCCACCCCCACAATATTAACTAGTATTTATGTGATAAAGGAATATAATTTTATAAAAAATTTAAACAGAGATAAAGGGAGAGTTACCCTTGATAAAGCCTTCTCTCAAACCACCGCCCTTTTTAAAAAATAATCACAATTAAGAGGGGTGTGTATATTTCTAATTCTTTTTTTTGTGCATATACATGTGTCTGCATATAGAAAATGTTATGTAATTATACATTCTTTAAAGAATTATACATCATTTATGGGGTTGGGGTTGTGGCTCAGCAGTATAGTGCTCGCCTAGCATGAATTAGGCACTGATTCAATCCTTAGCACCACATAAAAATAAAAGGTATATGTCCCCCTAAAACTAAAAAATAAATTAAAAAAAAATCTTTAATAAAAAAGAATTATACATCATTTAGATATTTCCTTATTATATAATGTATAATTGTATAGCTGTACCATTGTTTAATTTTTTGTGTTTTTTATTAGTGCAAATCATTTATACATAATAGTGGGGTTTATTTTGACACATTGATAAATGCATATAACATGATTTGCTCCATTTCAATCCCCTGTACTTCCCCTTTCTCTGACAGTTTTCTTATAACAGGTTTTACTAGGCTGTTTCTAGTGATATGCTTTCACAAATGTCACTGCAATAAACCTTACATGTGCCTCTGGATACATGCCCAAATTTTTCCTCCAAGTTGGTAACCTAGAAATGTAATTAATTGAAGAGTCTTTACATAGCCAGATTGATGACAAATACATAGATGTGATTCTTGCAACTCAGGAGGCTGAGGAAGGAGGGTCAGGTTTGAGACCAGCCTCGGCAACTTATCCAGACCCTGTCTCAAAGATAAAAAGGCTGGGGATGTAACTTAGTGGTAATGCACCTTTGGATTCAATCCCCAGCATCAAAAAATTAAATTTAATTTTAAAATTAAAAAGGATAGGAGATGTGACTCAGTGGTAGTTGCCCCTGGTTTAAATTTCCAGTACCACACACATACCAAAAGAGAGAGAGAAAAAAAATAAAGGACTTTCTGGTATCCTAGAGAAGTCTTTGAAATATCTGAAAGGTGACTTCTAGTGTTGATATTTATTCTGGAGCAGTCTTTCTGACTTGAAGGAATACTTAGAATACCTCTCATTCTTGTATCATCCAATAAAAAACAAAACAATATTCTTACTGATTTGGATTGTGGAGGGGACAGAGGGAGATGGCTTGTGGAAACAGGAGGATCTAATGGTTCACAGAATCTTGCCCTACCAAAGTCATCCACAGCCTAAAACTGTTTGATAATACAGTTATGATCAAAGCCTTCTGATTCTCCAAAGCAACCTTGCTGAGAATGTCCATCTCTTAGAAGTCAAGAGAGAATAGGACAGTCTGTTTTACCTAGAAGATAAATTATATTTTGGATTATAGGACTTATAACAACATTTGCCTTTCAGACGCTGACTGGAAAGGAAATTGAGATTGATATTGAACCCACAGACAAGGTGATGTATGCCCAACACCCTTCTCCTTGCCTGTGTCTTTGAGTGGGCTTATGAACTTAGTCCATTTGCTGTCATGCTATCTGTATAGTTCTTGTTCTTTCCATTTCCATGGTTCTTTCCTCAAGAAGCCTCTGACTACTTGCTCTCTAAAGGTGGAGCGAATCAAGGAGCGTGTCGAAGAGAAAGAGGGAATTCCCCCACAACAGCAGCGGCTCATCTACAGTGGCAAACAGATGTGAGTTTGGAGGGAAAGTTAGGGTAAAGTGATGTTATGTGAAAAGGAAGTGGGGACAAGTGCTTGAGATGGGTCAGGCCTGCCTCTTTCTTGTGCTCGCTCGCTCTCTCTCTCTCTCTCTCTCTCTCTTTTTTTTTTTGGTAGTTGTAGATGGATATGGTACCTTTAACCTTTATTTTACTTTTTTTATCTTTATGTGGTGCTGAGGATCGAACCCAGGCCTCACACATGCTAGGCAAGCACTCTACCACTGAGCTACAATCCCAGCCCTTCTTTTTTAAATTATTTTTTTGGTGCTTTGAACCCTTTGGTGGTTTGATAAAGCTTATAGAGTACTTCTCAGGACAGATAAATTTTTTTAGTATAGAATAAAATATGTGGAATTGGAAAGGAAACTAATTATATTGAACTACAGTTATCAAATTATGAAAACAAATGTGGTATAATAACATGTGCTTCTTTAATAATAAATAAGATCTAGTAGTGGGTCTAATAACTGCTGTAATTTTGAAATATTTTCAAGATACCTGCAAACATTGTAATATGATATGGACATATCTAATTTCTGTTGTTAACAAGTTACTTACATTGCCAATGCTACTATGAGTTTTTATACTTTTTTTTTCCTATTTTCAAAATTAAAAGAAATAGTTAGAGGTTAGTAAAAATAAAGGTTGAATTTTTTCTCATTCAAGTTCACAGACTTCCCAGAGAGAACCATGAAACCCAGATTAAGAAACCTTGTTCTAGCTGGGCATACTGGCTCAGCCTGTAATACTAATAACTCAGGAGGCTGAGGCAGGAGGATCGTAAATTTGAGACCAGCATCAGCAATTTAATGAGACCCTAAGCAACTTAGTGAGATCCTGTCTTAAAAAGACTGAGGATGTAGCTCATTGCCCCTGGGTTCAATCCCCAGTATCAATAAACAAACAAACTTTTTGGGCTGTGGATGTAGAGGATGTAACTTAGCAGCTTAAGGATATAACACTAGTTTAGCATGCTTGAAGCCTTGGGTTTGATCCCCAGCATGACCCCCCCCAAAAAAGAGAGAGAGAACACCTATTCCAGATGATATTTCTAATGCTTCTTTTGCCCCTCTGTAGGAATGATGAGAAGACAGCAGCTGATTACAAGATTCTAGGTGGTTCAGTTCTCCACCTGGTGTTGGCTCTGAGAGGAGGAGATAGTCTCAGGCAGTGACGGACCTTCCTTCCAGTTCACCTCCTTATGCTGTTGTTCATAATGAGGCATCATATATCCTGTCACTCTCTGGGACACCAGAGCCACTCCCCCCTCCCCTGGATGCCCAGTTTTGTGTGTGGTGGGAGAATATGAGGACCCCAGGATGCAATGTTCCTGGCCCAAAGGGCCCCTGCTGGCTATTGGATTTTAATTTGCAGTCCTGTGTGCTTCCCTCTCTTATGGCTGTGTCCCTAGTTGTCAATAAAATTTCCTGGCCTCCTGTAATCTTTTTCTGTTGCACAAATGTGACTGAAATAAAAACAGACCCAATGATAACTATTTACACTAGGTTTAAGGAGCAGTACCATGAAGAGCTGGTGCCCTTAGAGGGATTATCACACTCTAGGAAAGCCCACTCAGGTGTATGTTGGTGAGGCTGGTTCATGAGAGCCACTTCTTGCCACCTATTTCCAACTCCATGTAAGTGACTTTGTGTTGGTGGAAATTCGCCCTGATAGGAATAATTATAGAAACTGGCATGTTAGTTCCTTTCCACAACCTGGTTGTTGCGCATCTGTTAACATACTACTGAAGTGAATAGTAGTAGCCAGGAGAAAAGGTTTTCTCACACTGTGGCTCTGACTCTACATTTGTACCTAGTTGGAGAAAGCCTGAAGGGCTTTACAGACCTTACATTCTTTTTGTTTGTTTATGTTTTAGATGAGCCTCTAAAAGTGAGCCTCTTGCTTCAGCCACCTGAATAGCTAGAACTCAAGGCGTGCACCACTGTACGTGGCAACAGACACTACACCCTTCTCCTTGCCTGTGTCTTTGAGTGTGCTTATGAACTTAGTCCAATATCTGTATAGTTATTGTTCTTCCCATTTCCATGGTTCTATCCTCAAGCAGTCTCTGACTACTTGCTCTCTAAAGGTGGAACGAATCAAGAAGCTCTGCGACAGCCAAAGACTCTGAGTTAGAAACTATCAATAGGCCAATGTAGAGAAAGGTTGAGAAGGAGTGATAAGCTGGGATGGGATATTCAGTCTCGGTAAGGTAAAAGGGCTGGTGTTTTTAGAAGAAAGGATTTCCCTTCCTTGGCTTCTCTAGTGAAAACTGGTTGGAGTGAAAAAGTTAAGGGGAAGATGCCTGTGGCCAGTGCCTTAGACGGATCCCACCCCTATATCTCCGGTCACTTTGGTGCGGGGCTGCAGGCCTTTCCCCGTGCCGCAGCAGAAGGCGCTCTTGCGCGATCGCCATACTGGCTGCGGGAGCTCAGCGACGCTCTAGTCTCTTTTCTCTGTGGCATCCCGGCGGCTTCTTTGGCCTCTGCAGCATTGCGGGTTCTCCGGCAGGGGAGAAAACGCCAACTTGGCACGCAGCCTCCGGGACCGAGGCATGGCACGGCTCCCGAAGCTCGCAGTCTTTGATCTGGGTGAGGAACGGGCAGGAATAGTTTCGTAGGGCATGCTCCTTTTCCCTCGCCAGCGGTAAGCCGACTCCTTGCGCACCCCAAGGCTGAACCTCCCTCGCTCTTCCTCTCGTAGATTACACGCTGTGGCCTTTTTGGGTCGACACGCACGTAGACCCCCCATTCCACAAGAGCAGGTGAGGCAGGGTATCGGAGGACTAGGCGAGTTGCGACGCCGCCGGAGCTGAGTGTTTTCTCATACTCTCTAGTGATGGAACTGTCCGGGATAGTCGGGGCCAGAACATTCGGTTGTACCCGGAGGTGTCTAAGGTCCTAGAACGGTTACAGGACCTTGGGGTGCCCGTCGCAGCGGCTTCCCGGTAAGAAGAGGGAGTAACAACAATCCCTGTAAATGCTGAAGGATGCATGCACGGGGAAACATTTCACATAACCGCTTGAGTACTAAAATTTAGGGGGTGCAAATTTCAGATTATGTGCATATTTTTCCTAATTGTACATCCTCCTGTGCATTTTGGTTACTAAACGTGGGCTAACCGCCAGCTTTCAACCGTCAAACAGAAGTCTGTGGAGTTGAATGAGGGCAGAGGAAGCCTAGCCTTCCTGGAAAAACAGCAAAGTGGTTTCCCCCTGGTTATATTTAACTTTGCTTGCAGTTCTTCAAGACTTGGCCTTTCACTCTCCTATCCCATCTATTATACCTTTCTGCAGGACAGGTGAGATAGAAGGGGCGAACCAACTACTGGAGCTCTTTGACCTTGTTAGATATTTTGCTCATCGGGAAATTTATCCGGGCAGCAAAGTCACACACTTTGAGAGGTAGGTGGAAATAAGGGTAGGAGCCAGCAGGGAGAGTACCAGAGAGGCCAAGATTCCAGCTTGGTTACCCCTGCTCTTTCTTGCACAGGTTGCAGCAGAAGACTGGGGTTTCTTTCGCCCAGATGATCTTCTTCGATGATGAGAAGCGAAATATTGTAGATGTTGGTAAACTGGGTATGAGCAATGAGGAGAGCCATTTGGGGAATGAGAAGAAAGTAAGAAAGTGTTCCTAAGAGGGTATTAGGTAGTTATGTGCAGGGTGGATGGTCTGCATGACAGGTGACACCCACAAAAGGTGAGTAATAATGGAAAGGCCTAAAAAAGCTGATGAAATGTGACTTATTTTCCTTATAGGTGTTCTCTGCATTCACATTCAGAATGGAATGAGTCTTCAAACCCTAGCCCAAGGGTTAGAAACATTCACTAACTCTCAAGCTGGGCACTGAGGTCCAGCCCTGAGGATGAGCCTCATTTGAAGCCTAAAATGGAAAGGAAACGGAGAAGGCATTTTTTTCAGGTGCATTTGCAATTTATTAAAGTGTATCTATGTGTGGGTTGTTTTTATTTTTCTAGCGTGTGAACTGGGGCTGGTTGTCGACCTGAGGTGCCCAGAGTGGAGTGTGAGACAGGTTCTGCCATATAGATTGTGGCAGCCCAAAGGTTGTGACTCCTTCATTCTGGAACCCATCCCCACGCCATTTACTGAGGGGCCTGAGAATTTTCCCACTACCCCAATGGTGGGTGCTATTATGCTGTACGTTCCCTTCCACGGAACAAAACCAGTTTTAGAAACAAAACCAGTTGTAGTAGAAAGTGAAGCGGCCGCTTTAAGAGGAGCGCGTCAACCTGGGGATGGTGGCCCTGGTCACATGACAGCAGTGGTCTCCTTTGCGCTTGTTGATGATGTCGCCGCGGCGCCTTAAGGAGGGATTGGCCAAGGCCGGCCTACTCTCCAGGAGCGAGGCGGAAGTGCGGGGCACGCGGAGGGGCGGAGGCGGGAGAGGCGAGGACGCAATGAGTGGGCTCGGCAGACTCTTCGGGAGGGGTGAGATTGGGCCGCCTAGAGATGCTGGTCGGAGTGGGGGGTGGGGGCGACCGCGGCGCCCCGCCGGGGAAAAACCTCAGGAGTCAGGCGGACCGAAGACACCGGCCCGAGTTGAAGCCAGACTCATCTCTGGTGCCAATAGGCCCCGCCTAGTCTGGGCGCCTTGCTCCCTCCCGCTTGTCTTCCAGGATCCCTAAGTCTTGAGCTTGTGGTCAGAGAGAGGGGACGTGAGTGGAGAGCATGGCGACTGAGCTGGTTCCCACCGCACAGGCTGGGGGTTACTAATTTCCAGCAGCCTCTATCCAGTCCTTTCCAAAATACTGATGGTTACTTAGCTGGGCAGTCGAGACCTAAGGTGAAAGACTACCTTCTGGAAGCTCATGTCAAGGGGAACACAGGCCATTTGTGTAGTATAGCAACTCAATAATAGACATTCCTAAAACACTAGGGAAGCACAGAAGTAGGTGTCGGCGGTGTTCCACCAGGCTAGCAGTTTGCTATGTGGAGTACTCCAGAAGTGGTAACAAGCATCACAAAACATAGGGAGGAGAGAGAGATATGGGGGAAAAGTTTTGCCTGCCGCAGTGTACGTGATTAGAAGAGGAGAGAAAAGTAAAGGGAAGGCCTTCGGTCTCCCTAGAAAGTTTTGGATTTTGTCCTGTAGGTAATGGAGAGTAGGGAAGGATTTTGCCCAGAGAAAGGTATCAGATTTCTATTTGGGAAAATGAGTGTTGTATAGAAGATGAAGGGAGAAACTATTCTTTTTTTCCCTCTAGCCTTTTGTACTTCATTTAGTTTGATATTGTGGGATTAGGATCTTTGGCATCTCCTAGGACAGCAAATGAAAATAGTGGTTGTTAAAAGTGACTGGAGGGGGGCTGGGGATGTGGCTCAAGCGGTAGCGCGCTCACCTGGCATGCGTGCAGCCCGGGTTCGAGCCTCAGCACCACATACAAAGATGTTGTGTCTGCCGAAAACTAAAAAATAAAAAAAAAAATATTTAAAAAAAAAAAAAAAGTGACTGGAGGGGCTGGGGCTGAGGCTCAGTGGTAGAGCGCTTGCTTAGCATGTGTGAGGCACTGGATTCAATCCTCAACACTACATAAAAATAAATAAATAAAGGTATTTAAAAAAAAGTGACTGGAGTCAGTTGAGTGCAGTGGTGTAGGCCTGTAGTCCTAGCTACTCAAGAGGCCGAAGCAGGAAGATCGTAAGTTCCAGGCTAGCTTTGACAACTTAAACCCTGTCTTGAAATAAAAAATAAAAAGAGCTGGGGATCTAGCTCAGTGGTACAGCACTCTGAGCTCAATCCCCAGTACCGCCAAAAGGGGTGGTGGTAGCTGGAAATTACTTCAAAGAGCAAAAAGAGTATTGGCTTTCAAAGTCATTGTGCCACATTTTGGATTCCTACTAAACTTCTTGTGATTTTAGACAAAAAAATAAAAAATAACACCTTTGTGCCTGTTTTCAGATTTTTAAAGTGAAGACAGTATACTCATTGTAGAGAATCATTTAGAGATTAAGAGTCAAGTGCCTGGCACATACTGTGCACTCAACAATTGGTGGGTAATATTTGTCTTTTACACAACATGGGTCTGTGTTGCACTGGACTCTTCAGGGAAGAAGGAAAAGGGGCCAACCCCTGAAGAAGCAATACAGAAACTGAAGGAGACTGAGAAGATACTGATCAAAAAACAGGAGTTTCTGGAACAGAAGATTCAGCAGGAGCTACAAACAGCCAAGAAGCATGGGACCAAGAACAAAAGAGGTAATAAGGGAAAGGAGCCACTGGGGAGGGCCCAGGTGGGAATCGGGTATTTCTGACTCTGATGTTCAGGATGTGGGCTGGGTCAGCTGCCCTGCAGGCTTTGCGGAGAAAGAAAAGATTGGAACAGCAGCTGGCACAAACCGATGGAACATTATCCACCCTGGAGTTTCAGCGTGAAGCGATTGAGAATGCCACCACCAATGCAGAAGTGCTTCGTACTATGGAGGTTGCTGCTCAAGGCATGAAAAAAGCCTACCAGGACATGTAGGTACGGGGCAGAGGAGGAGAGTACCTATACACTGGGAAGGATGGTTTGGGATTATACTTTCAAGGTTTTTTTGGTTTTGGTAACACTGGGGATTGAACTCAGGACCTTCCACATGCGAGGCAAGCACTTTACCACAGAGCTACACCCACAACTTAAACACTTTCAACTTTAAAGCCTTTCAGAATATGAACTTGTGTAAACTTGTGATAAGAAGACCTGTCTGCCTCCTTGATTCCTTCAAGAAAGATCCTATTGCTGGGCCATTCATTCTAGGGAGAAAAGATGATTTCTTTAATTTTTAAAGATCATTAGCACAGCCTGTACTTTCCATTGTGGCTTTTTGCTGTTCCTTGGCCCAGACTTGATTCTACCTTTTTTCCTGCCATCAATTTATTAGTATGAGGCCACAAGACAGAAGGGTTTCATTCATGTGATATAAGGAATTCGGGGTAGGGGTCTTGCCTGATTTCTTCACTGTACATCTTGTTCTCAGGGACATTGACAAGGTGGATGAATTGATGGCTGATATCACAGAACAACAGGAACTGGCCCAGCAGATCTCAGATGCCATTTCTCGGCCTGTGGGCTTTGGAGATGATGTGGATGAGGTAATGGGGGGTGAGGGGTCAGGGACTATTAGAGAAGCTGAGACTGGCCAGAATGAATGCCCAACAGAAGCTCTTGGGGCAGATTTGGAAGGGAATTTCAAAAGTGATCTGTTTGAAAGTTGAAATTTCTTTTCTTGGTCTTTAACTTTTTTGTCATCCGATATCCAGGATGAATTACTGGAAGAGCTAGAGGAACTAGAGCAGGAGAAATTGGCCCAGGAGTTGTTAAATGTGGGCAATGAGGAAGAAGAACCCCCAGTCAAATTGCCTAGTGTACCTTCTACACATCTGCCTGCAGGGCCAGGTAACCAGGACTATTTGTTGTCTGGAAGACTTGATGATGTGGGGAGATATGGGGTAAGACTGTTCCCCATCCATCCTGCCACATATGCAGGTTGTTGACTGTGTAATAGCATCTGACTAAAAGGGAGTGTGGATGAAATCCAGAATCCAACCTGTGCTCCACTCAGTGGAGTACTGCAAGCTGTGTACCCTGCTTTAGGGATGCAAATGCTGGGAACAAAAGGAAGCTTTTTCTAATTTGCATTAAGGTGCTGTGGGAATGAGTAGCAGCCTCAAAAGCAGGACTACACACCTTTAGGTTCTTTGCTGGGGAGACACACTTCAGTAGGCTCCAGGGTTCACAGTAGGGCATAGCTAGAAGTTACTGAGGCTTTAACATTTCTCCTTTCTTTTTCTGGGTGTCCCTGTCCTCAAAGCTCCCAAAGAGGATGAAGATGAAGAATTAAAACAGTTGGCTGAGTGGGTATCCTGAGTCTGGGTTTGTCCTCCTCCTGCTGCCTTCATTGGTCCCTTTTCCTTAAGTGCCAAATGCCAAGCTAAAGAAGCACAGCTTTTTTGGGAGGTCTTGCTGATGTGGTAGTATGCCTGTATGAGAAAGGGACCTGTTGCCCTTCCATCCCTGGCTGAACGCTGAAGGATCTTGCTGCAGGGACCCCTGGGCTCCATTCTCTTTGATAGCAGTTACAGTGCCCTTGTTATCAATAAAATTGGGTAGATGGATCACCAGTGTCTATACTCTCTCACGTACACTTGAAACTCTTCTCTGTCTTAAAGCTGTTTTAAGCACTGAACATGTGAACAATGAGTCATGAGAAGGGGTTGGAACATAGAACAAATGGGTGTTTCTAAATCTCAACATGTATTCTAGGGAAATAACTTTACCTTTGAAGTTGGTTTATCCTAAAGGTGCCTAGTGTTGAGGGTAAGCAAACTTCCATGGAGCCATCTCTAGTGTTAACTGCTTTTCTCAGTCATGACTTCCCCATTTTCCTTTGCAAAGCACATTTCAAGGACAGGGAGGGAGAATACAGGGATAGATAGAGCAAGTAGCTTTCCTTTATCTAGAACTCACTAGTTCTTAGCTTTCATAACGAGAAGACTTGGTGTGACTTGAAGACTCTTGTCACTTCTATGTCTGGGAGCAACAGTACAAGGAGTCCTGACTACCTGGTATTATTTCAATAGTAGTTAAGGTGGCACTGAAGGAAGGAGGAGCCAAAGTACTAAATATGGCCTAATATTCATTTGTGAAAGAACATACAATGCTATCATTTTGGACTATAGATAGGCAGAACTATAAAGTAGAGCTTTTGTCCCACTTCTTGAACATTAAGTGCATACTTAATTGGGTATTAATCTGAGTATCTGACACCCCCCCCCCCACACACACACACCCACCACCCCCATGAACTGCATCGAATTATTGTTGACCTACACAAGTGTCAAGATTACTGGTTACAGGATCTGGCCAGAAAATCCACCCTAACTGATGAAACTGTCAGAATTAGATTTATTTTTGGTATAAAAGCCCCAGACCCTCCTACTTTGCTCCTCTCAGCACCTTGCCTTAGTTATTTTCAGCTCCTGACTTCCAAAGACTGGCGACGACGATTACTGTTGTCGGGGTACTGGCACACAGCCTCAAGTAACCTGATCTCATATGTGGGTTGCTCAGGCTGGAATTTGACCACCCAGGGATCCTTGAGGATGTCCAGGATGGTGGCACGCTTGGTAGCTGGGCGTAGCATCTGGAGGACCAGGTTCTATGGCAGAGGAGAGAGAGGTCTTGGCTGAGCTTGCCCCCCATTGTGCCACACAGGCAATGAGCAGTTGGACCTAAGAAAGAAGCAAGATAGCCCATCACACCACTCTGGTGAAAGGGGGTATAGCCCTGCTTTTATGCTAGAGAGCCAGACATTTTCTGCAAGAGAAGGGAAGAATTGGGGTAGGATGGGGGAATCTCTTGCATAATCCCCTTCTGGCCTAAAGGAATAGAAGCTGGAACCACTTTATCAAGCATCTGTTTGGAGCCCAGTGGTAGACCCTTTAAGCCCTCCCCACTATATATTTAAGAGTGTGAGATAACCCAGTTGGAAGAGCCTTCCCCAGGATTGGAAGGCCTAGGTTCACTCTTCCCTGTGAGTCATCCCTAAGGCCTCAGCCCTCCTGGGGGAGCCAGCACCTTGCACTCCTGGGAGACGGTGCAGTTAGATGGGAAAGTGACCTCCTTCTGAGTCTCTTTCAGCAGCTTCTTGAGATTGGTGTCATCAAAGGGCAGATGGGCGACCATTAGAGTGTAGAGGATGACGCCCATGCTCCAGGTGTCAGACAGGAAAGGATTGTAGGGCAAGCCTAGCAAGATCTCCGGGCAGGCATAAGCAAAGCTGCCACAGTAGGTCTGGCTGAGGTGGGAAAATAAGTTCACTTGGCGGTAAGAAGAGCTACTACGCACAGGCTGGTTAGAAGGCACCATCTTAGAGAAGCCGAAGTCCGATATCTTCACATTCTCCCGCTTGTCCAGCAACAGGTTCTCCAACTTTAAATCCCTACTAGCAGCAGAAAGGCTGGGGGTCAGGCTGGGGAGAGGGCTTAGTATTGGACTGGGAGCTGAAGGGCCAGGGGTCAGAGGCTAGAGACGAGGAGAGGCAAAGTGGGAGGTATAGACCATTATGGGAGCACAAGGTAGTAAGGAAGGCCATGGAGCTGTGAGCAGAGCCTAAAGGAAGAGAGAGAGGATGGTACCTCAGGACCACTGGGAGTGTGAATACAGTGGGTACTTTACAAATATCCTTGACCAGTGATTAACAGAATGGATGAATGGGCCTAGATGTTGAGGAGAGGTTAAGGGAAGGAAAAAAAAAAAAGAGCAGCAAATGGGTGATATGCATAAAACCCCCTTGGGATCCCAAAGGCCGCAGTCTGGGTGGCTATGCCCTCACCGGTGCACGATGCCCTTGCTGTGCAGGTAGGCGATACCCAGGGTCAGCTGGGAGAACCACTTGCCAGCAAGGGGCTCAGAGCAGGCCCCAAAGCGCTGGATCCATTCAAGAACATCACCACCTTGAGCCAGCTCCAAAACGATGTACACTCGGGATGTTGTCTCAATGGCCTGATAGAAGTTGATGAGGTACTTGTGCCGCAAGACTTTCATTACCTGACCCCAGAAGAGGGAACCATCAAACCTGGGAAAGGAGAACCCTGCCTATACTCCCAACCCTCTCCTACCTTCCTGCTGCAACTTACTTAGAACTCCACAACAGAATCAATCCCTCAACTCCAGAGCACTGGTGGACTGTGAGTAAACCCTATTTTGCATTTTTACTTACTGGGAGGCTGGAGGCAAGTGGGCAGATGGGAAAGAGTTTGAATATATATTAAGGAATTTTCCCAGTTGCTTAGATGTTCAGATCTGATTTGGGGGTTTTGGGCTCTACCTTCTCCTAGTCATACCCCTTTTAAGAAATCTCAAGTCATTTAGTTATGAGTTTCCAGCCCTTTCTGACCTGTATCTCGCGGGGCAGGAACTTGTTAAGATAGTCTTCAGAGGCCTTCTTCTTTGAGATGATCTTGACAGCCACCATGACCTTCTGCTTTGTGTAGTAAGCCTCATACACAGTCCCATAGGAGCCATTGCCTATGACCTTGCCCACCTCATAACCATACTCTTCCATGACAGAGCGATAGGCTGCGGTGGGTGGTGCTGACTCCATGGTGTCTCCCTTCATGATTTTGGGTTTGCTTAAAGTAAGGAGTTTTGCTACTTAAGATGCCTCTGTCTATTCAGAGGCCAACACCTTGAGCCATTGATGGCTAAGGGACCAAAATCAAGTTGAGACTTTGAATGCTTGCATATATAGTCACACAAGTCTGGGATGCTGGGCTCAATCCTCCACTAAGAACTTGGAGTGGGAAAGAACAGAGAAGCAATTCTTTTTGTCTCCACTGGCTGTTGTTACTTCTTCCGTTACGGAACTTCCTAAGATCCCAAGTTCTGTACACATCACAATCCACTTTCTATCCATGATCACTGGCCACAAAGCTTGAGAATGTGTGGTTTGGAACATATTCATTCATAAAGGCATGTTCTGCAATCTGGTGAGACTCCCCCACGGAGACTCCCCATTACTTCAGATTTACTGAGCACTTTCTATGAACACTAAATTAATCAATAAGGTCAAGAGCAACCCATACAAGAGTATATTATTATCAGCAAGACATACACGAGTATATTATGAAGAACTACTAGGTGTTAAAGCTCATTCCAGGATTTTTTTTTTTTAAATCGGGAATTGTACACAGGGGGCTTAACCACTAAGCCATATCCTCAGCACCCCCCACCCACCGCCGTGTTTCTAAATTTTATTTTACAGATAGGATCTCACTGATTTTCCGAGGCTGGCTTTGAACACCTAATCCTCCTGCCTCAGCCTCCTGAATTGCTGGGATTATAGGCCTGCACCACCATGTCTCGCTCATTCTAGAAACTTGACACTGAAAGGCATTCTTGCTTTTCAGGACCCTAAATTTTCTAATTTTCTTCTCATGCTTCTGGTCATTCCTTCCACAGGAGCCTCATCTATCTTTTTTTTCCCCCTCACAGTGCTGAGGGTTGCACCCAAGGCTTTGTACATATTAGGCAAACAATCTACCACTGAGCTACAGCTCCTCCATCTATTCCTTAATCGTATCCCAAGCCCAATTATCTCAGATCTCCACTTCCTTTCTTAAGGATCTCATCCCCTCCCAAGGCTTCAATTACCACGTTTATGCTGACTGCTCCTAATCTCATCTGCACCTCAGATATCTCTGTGGTTTTGGATACAGTGCCCACTTGCCTACTAGACATCACAGATATCAGGCACCTCAAACTCATCATGCACAAAACTGAACTTCTTATTTTCATCTCTGACTTTTCCTTTCTGTAAGTTCTACACTAGTTGTCTTTAGACACACAAATGTCATCCCAGATTCCCCTGCTGCTTTGGTCCCTACATCCAATCTATCACCAAGTCTTGTCACTCAAACCTCCTAAATATATCAACAATGTACTCATGGTTCTCCAAGTCCACCATTCCTCCCTTACTTCAAGCCTCAATCATTCAACTGATTATCCTAGCAAGTCTCTGCTCCCCTAAGTCTGTCTATTCACTGAAGTCCATGGGATAAATCTGATTTTCTTCCCATTTAGAACAATTCAATGTCTTCTTATTCACCTCGGGATTGTTTCTTTTCTTTCTTTCTTTTTTTTTTCCATTTGGATTTAAGATAAACCTGCCCACTTCTCCAACTTTTATTTTTGGTACTGCATACTAAGGATTAAACCTAGGGATGCTTTACTACTGAGTTATATCCTCAGTCCTTTTTATTTTTGAGACAGGGTCTCACTATGTTGCTGAGACTGGCCTCAAACTTTCCTTCCTTAGTCTCCCAAGTCACTCGATTAAAGACATGCACACCTCACTTAGTGCTCCAACTTTCATCTTTTAACGCACACATAACAATGTGCCAACCAAACAGAACTGCTTTTCCATCTTTGTTCTGTTTGCCTGGAAAACTCCTATTCTTCTTTCACTAAGTTTGGGATTTTTTTTTTTTTTTTTTTGGTCTTGCTTAGTGGTAGTGGGTGGAGGTTGAAGTCCAGAGCCTTGTGTATGCTTGGCAGGACAATTCCCACTGCCCTTTCCTAATGAGATAGGTTCACTAAGTTGCCCAGGTTGGTCTCAAACTACTGTCTCAGCCTCCTGACCAGCTGTGACTATGGTGTGGAGCTGTTTTTAGGAAGCCTTTATTGACAGCTCAAGGTTAAGTTAGTTCTGGGTACGCTCACAGCTCTGATACTTTCACTGTCACAGCACCCAAAGAGTATGCAAAACTGATTTTCTTGTTTGTAGCTCCTATGAGGCTAAGCAGGGAGTCCAGTGATGCAAAGAAAGTTGAAGTCAGAGGTTTGAAAAGAATGAATTGTAGAGAATGGAAAGGACCTGGTTTAGAAATGAACAGGGACTGGTTAGCAATGAAAGTCCAAGCGAGGCTGGAAAATAAAACTTAGAGACATACAATGTTGAGATTCTTTTAGCATCTTAGCTGTAGGTGCTTGAATACTGGTGGATAATTCAATCTAAGATTACAGTTTTGTTTGGCAACTAAAATGAAATAATGGTAGAGGCACCAAGAGCACAGGCAAGAATGTGGTCACAATAATGGAATGTGGAATCTACACTATATAGGTAAGGAAGACAAGCTAGAAACAGACCAAAAGGGCAGAAGGATAGGTTGCAGGTCTCAGTGGAATGGAAGAACAAGTTCGGTGGAAATGACAGTGAGGAGGACAGGAGGCTGTAGTCCCAGGTTCTTTGGATTTAAGATGGGAGGGGTGGACAGGAAAGAGCAAGGATTTAGTCTCATGTCTTCCATCCCCCAAAACAAAACAAAAAGAACAGATTATGCCACAGGCTACTGGTAAAATTCCCCTACTGACAGTCTGACCCTGCTGGCAGTATAGTTCCAAAGTTCTGCTGGAAGTCAGCTCTACATCCTCAGTCTATGAAGGAACACCAATGGTAAGAAAGCCTGTCTTTTGCTCCCACAAAACTGGTCCCTGGATAGATAGGTACCTTAGTGATAGCTCTAGTCCCTCATGTGTTTAGGGAGTAAAACAGTTCACTCAAGGAGCATGTATTAAGCTGCCTAGTATATATGAAAACATTGCTAGATCCTGAAGATACAAAAACAGATATATCAGTCTCCTTTGAGGAGTTAGCAATTAACAAGGGATTTTATATAAATAAAATGACGGTACAGAGAGATGAATTGCTATGAACAAACCTGGAAGGAGAGGGGAAAGAAGGCTTTATAGAGATGGTGTTGTTTGTACTGCCCCCCAAAAAAAGTTCTCTAGGCAGGTAAATAGGAAATGGTAGATTGGGCAGTCTATGTAGGAAGAACAATATGAGGCCTGCAGGCTTGAGAGAACACCATGTTCAGGATTTGAACTCAAGTACAGGACAGAACTCCAGAAAGGGACTATACCTTAAGAAATTCTTTCCCTCCCTCCCTTCCCCTTAAGAAATTCTTTCTTTCTTTCTCTCTCTCTCTTTTCTTTCTTATCTATCTATCTAATCTCAGAACTAGAATACAGGTCTGAGAGGGTTCATATGTTAAGCTATTTACACTTTATCTCATATACTCAGGGTCAAATCTTGTTGTGCATCAAGATTGGAGCTTGTTCAAAAAAATAAAAAAGCTGACATACAGCAAGCCCTCCCCTGAGATACAGATTTTTAAAGATCCTTCCAGTAGCAGTGTGAAAAATGATCCAAGGGAGAGTGACCACACTAACAAGATGGCTGTTACAGTAACTGAGGTGAGAGAGGATGGAGCTCTTTCCAAAGAAATGGTGGAAAGCAAGTATTGGAAGATATTTGGGCAATAAGTAGAGGGAATTTAATGACACTGATATTTGGGAGAATTGAGATCAAGGTCCTATTTCTGGTTTGAGACACCAGGTAGTTGTGATGATTTCAACTGGACCAATGGTGAATGCCCATAATCCTAGTTGTCAGGAGGCTGAGGCAGGAGGATCATGAGTTCAAAGCCAGCCTCAGCAACTTATCAAGGCCTTAAGCAACTCAGGGAGACCCTGTAGCAAAATAAGGTATTTAAAAAAGATTATTTCCAAGTTACTGTAAGTTGCTTTGGGGGGGGGGGGGGCGGGTACTGGTGCTTTATCAACTGAGCTACATTACCTAGACTTTTTTATTTTTATTTCTTAATTTAGGACAGGGTCCTGCAAAATTTCTGAGGCTGGCCTCAAATTTGGGCCCAGCTTATAAATTACTTTTGTAGTTACAAAAATCATTCATTATTGAGTCTGTTCCGTGCTGCACATCTGTAGTCCCAGTTCCTCAGGCAGCTGAGGCCCGGAGGATCACTTGAGCCCCAAGTTCCAGGCCAGAATGGGAAACATAGCAAGACCCCTTTGGGGGGTGGGGAAAGAATGACAAGAAAAATCATAGTCTAATAAACTCAAACCCCTACTTCCTGGAACTTCACCTGTTTATAGGGAGAAAGGCTGAGTCAGAGAGAGCAATGACAGAGGTGGGTAAATAAAGGAATTCTGAGGCTTGAAGCCTCTTAGGATTTTTCACAGTACTTCTTTCCCTGGGGAGAGAGAACTTTAAGTCAACTTCCATACAAGTTATTCCCAGGTAGCATAAGTCATTGCCTAGAGGTCGGACTTCCGGAAATAACTCCCCTGACTGCAGAGCCCATTTAAAAATAGCTGAGACAAGCAGGTCCTAATTACATGCCTGTAATTACGGTTGGGGGCTGGGGCAGGAGGATCACAAGATCTAGACCTGTATGGGCAACCTAGCGAGATCCTGTCTCAAAATAAGATAAAATAAAAAGGACTGGGGCTGTAGTTCAGTGGTAGAGCATGGGGAATGGGGGTTACATCCCAGTACTAAGAACAAAAGCTGAGGCAGACAATGACAAAGTTTTTCAAAATAATAAGCATACAAAATTAAGAGAATCCCAAATAATAAACCCAGAGCATGTATCTAGAGATCTAAGCACAAACGTATCTAGAGAGACGAAAAGTCAACCAGATTATTTACCTCCAATTAAAAACCCTATAAGCAGCCCAACTCGCCGATGGAAGTGAGACACCCTATCTCCGCGTGCCTCTGCACCTGACCCGGCTCCAGCCTACTTATCGCCAGGTACTGAATAGTCGTCGTACGGCCAGGGAAGCCTCCAGCAGCTTTGGGAAAACACTTCAAATATTTATCATTCTTACGCGGAGCCACTGTTGATAGATGGAAGGAATGAGGATATTCAGGCGTAGTACCCTTGAATGAGACCGACGTGCAAATCCTCACCCAGCTTGGGTTGGGGGCCACCAACCGCCTCCCAGGGCTCGCCCCGGCAGTCCCATTGGTTCAGCCCGCAAACGCTTCAGGGCGTCCACTGGACGGGGACTCAGCCACCGCCAATGCTCCATTTCAGGCCTCCGACCGCTCAAGCCAAAGGTGGGCGCTACCTGCCCGGGCTCTCGCGCCCTAAATCTTCCTGGAGACAGGCGGACGGCGATTCTTATCCCGAAAGGATGTTGCATGCTAACTACCAGGCCTTGGTAGAATGCAGTCCGCGAAACAAACGCACAGCAAGAGACCCGCTAGGATCCAGAAAGGAACCTTCCGCCGGGCTGAGGTCCCCGCCCGTGAAGACGGAAGTGGTAAGACTGACGTGTCCTGGGCTGCTCTCCTGAACGCCAGGAGGACTCCCCACCAGGCACGGGCGACCCCAGCTTCCTAGGATCCCCGGAGCTGGACCCGCGCCTCTGAGGACAACATAACTCCTTGGGGAGCACTTGACAGAGCCAGGTGCGGTATTCAGCGTGGTGTAGCCGCAGCCTCCACTATCAGGCGCAGCCGCGGACAACCCCCTGGAGGTCGGTCATCAGGTCCTCTCCAACCCTGCTGCTCCCGCGCCGCCCAGGGGGAGACCCCGGCAGGAGCCCAAGGGCAGCTAGGGGGCCGCAGAGCCCGCTGGCGCCGCCTTGGGCAGCCCTTCCCGCGTGGTGAGGACCCCAGAACTGTGGCGGGAAGGGACCCGAGCTGCGAGGCCGCGCGGCGTTGCCATGGAAACGGGCTAGCGCGCGCAATAGAGGCTCCCGGCGGGCGGCGGGAGGGATGAACCCCTGGTTGGGAGGACTAGAGAGGAGGCCAAGCCGGTCTTTGGGGTAGAGAGATATGGTGTGGTGTGGGGGTCGGGAGGCCAAAATGGGCGTCCATTCGAGGGACCTAACCGGGGGCGTCATGAGTTGACCCCTAGTTTCTGTAACCGTAGGATTCCCCCAAACAGGTTCTGCTACCTTAAGGATGACAGTTCTAGGACAACCTCGAAGTTGGAGCTGCCAGTGGTTGCCAATCCTGATACTGCTACTGGGCACCGGTGGTGGGCCAGGGGTAGAAGGTGTGACACACTACAAGGCTGGAGACCCTGTCATTCTATATGTCAACAAAGTGGGACCTTACCATAACCCTCAAGAAACTTACCACTACTATCAGCTTCCAGTCTGCTGCCCTGAGAAGATTCGTCACAAAAGCCTTAGCCTGGGTGAAGTGCTGGATGGGGACCGAATGGCAGAGTCTTTGTATGAGATCCGCTTTCGGGAGAATGTGGAGAAAAGAATTCTGTGCCACATGCAACTCAGTTCTGCACAGGTTAGCCTCTCTACATTGGTCATTACGTAGCCCAGGAGTTATTCCCAGGGACCAACAGTACCTCGCATTTATGGTTCAAGTGTACCTTTATGAACATTATCTGACTTGATTCTAACTACAACCCTGTGGGGCAGACAGGGCAGATGATAGTATTCTAATTCAGTCGACTAAGAAGTGACTTATTTGCTAAGAAGTGACTTCTTAAAGATTGGCTAATGAATTGCAAAGCTGATATTACTAGAGCCCAGAGCTCTTTGCTCCTACTTTCTCTGTCGATAATAAGGTCCCAACTATTATTCCTGAGTAGTTCTTTCCTTCCATACCTACCCCTTAGCTCTTGATTGGCTCCTTTACTCTACCCTAGTCTTCCAGTCATGGTTTTTCTTTGGCAAATTCTGGCACTTCTTGGTCTACTCCAGTCTTACACCTTGCCTCTTTAAAAAAAAAAAAAAGCCTTAACCCTGTCAAAGTAGTATCTGTATCTGCTGGGGTGTGTGTGCACAACATACTTGAGTCTAACTCAGTCTCTACAGGGTTTTGTCCCCCAAGAGACATTTGGCAACATCTATAGACATTTTTGATTGTTACAACTGGGAAGTACTACTAGCATTTTGTGAATAGAGCCTGCCCACCTCCCAGCCCTCCCAACAGCAAAGAACTACCCAGCACAAAATATAGGTAGTGCTGAGGCTGAGAAACCCTGCTGTAATCCCAGGCCTGGGAAGACCTTGTGTGACTGTCTCCTAACTTGCTCTTTATAGGTGGAGCAGCTGCGCCAGGCCATTGAGGAACTGTATTACTTTGAATTTGTGGTAGATGACTTGCCAATCCGTGGTTTTGTGGGATACATGGAGGAGAGTGGCTTCCTGCCACACAGCCACAAGATAGGACTCTGGACCCATTTGGACTTCCACCTAGAATTCCATGGTGATCGAATTATATTTGCCAATGTTTCAGTGCGAGATGTGAAGCCCCACAGCTTGGATGGGTTACGATCTGATGAGTTCCTAGGTCTTACTCACACTTACAGTGTGCGCTGGTCTGAGACTTCAGTGGAACGACGGAGTGACAGGCGCCGTGGTGATGATGGTGGTTTCTTTCCCCGAACATTGGAAATCCATTGGTTGTCCATCATCAACTCCATGGTGCTTGTGTTTTTACTGGTGGGTTTTGTGGCTGTCATTCTAATGCGTGTGCTTCGGAATGACCTGGCTCGATACAACCTGGATGAGGAGACCACCTCTGGAGGTTCTGGTGATGACTTTGACCAGGGTGACAATGGCTGGAAAATTATCCATACAGATGTCTTCCGCTTCCCTCCATACCGTGGTCTGCTCTGTGCAGTGCTTGGTGTGGGTGCCCAGTTCCTGGCCCTTGGCACTGGTGAGGTGATAAGAATTAATGCGGGATTTGTCTCAAGGGATAGGTAGTTTATTAGAATAGGTCTGTGGATCTTCTGTTCAAGGTGAAGGGCAGACCTAAGGGTTAAGGTGGCTCTAGTGAGGATGTGTATTTTATTGCTGGCTTTCTGGACAACTGAATTTGGGGAAGATAGTTTTGCTGGCAGTCGTGGGTCTGGGCGAAGGGTTGTGATTCCTTTGAAACTGCAAGAGGAACTGAAGAGGTAAGACCTAACATAGGCTTTTCACTACCACCCTGTAGGCATTATTGTCATGGCACTTCTGGGCATGTTCAACGTGCACCGTCATGGAGCTATTAACTCAGCAGCCATCTTGTTGTATGCCCTGACCTGCTGCATCTCTGGTTACGTGTCCAGCCACTTCTACCGGCAGATTGGAGGCGAGCGCTGGGTGTGGAACATCATTCTCACCACCAGTCTCTTTTCTGGTAAGGACTTCCCCTTCCCTAGTGGGTCTGCCTGAACTTGGGAACTAAGAACACATCATGGAACCTGGAAAAGTCAGAGTGAAGCTTTAAAGGAAAGAATATGGGGGTGGAGAGAATTAGGAAACTATCAAAAAGAATCTATTTCTTTTGAATAAAAGTTAAGTCCTTAAAAAGTCCTAAGCAATGTAGTAAGCACTTGATGTCTTCAGCTCATTTAATCCTCACAATGTGTGTGAAGTAGGTAATGTTGTCCCCATTGTAGATGAGGAAACTGAACTTCATTCAGCTAGTTAGGTAATTTAGCCAAGATTATATCCAAAAGTAGAAAATCAGGTTTCAGATGCAGGCAATCTGAATCTCAAGCCTGTGTTCTCAACCATTATACTTAAATAACACTCTTTGAGTTTACTTTTTGATACTTCTTTTTATTTTGGAAGTATGGTCCCTCTAGCCTTTCAAACAAGATTGCCCTTTCAAAGGCAACAGATGTGTGCAATCTGAACCCTTCCTCTTCCCAATTTTGCGTCTGACTTATATCCCACCTCATTTTTATTTTCTAAGTTGTAGATGGACAGAATGCCTTGTGGTGCTAAGGATGGAACCCAGTGCCTCACACATGCTAGGCAAGCACTTTGCCATTGAGCTACAGACCAAGCCCCCCATCACGTTTTTATTTGAAGTAGGACTTTCTGAAAACAGGGCCTTAATCCAAAGGAATGTCTCATGCTAGAAATTACCAGTATTACGGCAAAACAGGCCCCTGAAGGCAGGTGGATTTGTGTCAGTCTCAGATTTTGATGAAGCAATTACCTTGATCCTTGATGACACTGGGTAGGGGGAGAGTGTTGAAAATATAAGGAATAAAGAACAGTGAGCACTAGGGATGTGGCTCAGTGGTAGAATATTGCTCAGTACACACTAGGCCCTGGGTATAAACCCCAGCACTCAAAAACAAAAACAAAACAATAGGATATAAAAGGGTGGAGGTAAAGGCAGTCAGCTCTGTACAGATATCCAGGAAAATAGGTGGGCTGTTAAGAGTGGCAGGCTGGTTCACTCTTCTCCCCTTTAGGTGCAGTTTGAGTGGGTGCCCCCAGGGACATAACTCCTAGTGCTCACCCTCCTCTGGGGCCCATCCCTGCAGTGCCTTTCTTCTTGACCTGGAGTGTGGTGAACTCGGTACATTGGGCCAATGGCTCAACCCAGGCCCTACCAGCCACCACCATCCTACTGCTTCTGACGGTCTGGCTGCTGGTAGGCTTTCCTCTCACTGTCATCGGAGGCATCTTCGGGAAGAACAATGCTAGCTCCTTTGATGCACCTTGTCGTACCAAGAACATTGCCCGAGAGATCCCACCTCAGCCCTGGTATAAGTCTACTCTCATCCACATGACTGTTGGAGGCTTCCTGCCCTTCAGGTATTCTATCTTTATTCCATGGTCATCACTCTGTTCTTGACTTCAATTTTTCCTTTCCCTACCTACTCCCTACCATAACTCAATGATAATCCCTTGTTCAGCTGTACCACTACAAGCTCATTAAATAGTTCCTCCTATCCCCAAGCACAATTGAACTTCAGTCAGTTCAGATGTCTCATTTGTAACACTCTCTTACTTAATAAATTGAATGAGTAATCAAATGGGCTTTAAGCCCCACGTGCTGCTAGTGTTTACAGGCATCATGTGGCGTTTAGAGCCCATTTGATTACTCATTCAATTTGCTGGATATCTCTTTGTTCCTGACAGATGATGCAGTAGAAAATAAAACAGATAAGATCCCTCCTTTTGGGGCTGGGGATATAGCTCAGTTGGTAAAGTGCTTGCCTTACATGCACAAGGCCCTGGGTTCGATCCCCAGCACACACACACACACACACGCACAAAAAATCTCTGCTTTCAATCTCTCAGAGAAGATGTTCTTGAATTAAGAGCTGCTAATCAGGGCTGAGGCTGTAGCTCAGTGGCAAAGCACTTGCCTAGCATGTGTGAGGCACTGGGTCCGATCCTTAGCACCACATAAAAATAAATAAATAAAATAAAGGCACTCTGTCAATCTACGATTACAAAAAAAGAAAAAAAACCAGCTAATTAGCCAGGCACAGTGGTGCGTGACTGTAATCCCAGTGGCTCAAGAGGCTGAGACAGGAGGATCTTGAGTTC